TGTCCTGTTATGACCCCGGTTCGTTCTTCTATAATTCTGATAGTCTTCAGCAGCAATCAGTATGTAAGGCATTTTCCTATCCTTTTCTCGTTCTCTTCTCGTTCTCTTCTCGACCMCTTTGACAAGTGATTCTTTTATTAGATTCTCCAGTAAGCGAATCTGTGATCCCCGAGATATAAGTTGAGTCAAAATTTATCAMATTATAGTTTTCATTTCACAAAGTATTTGTTATGATGACTTGTGTGGTTTTTTTTCCTTTTAAGGGAAGAGTATACTTTCACAGTGAACATTCATTAACAAACCCTTTCTTTGATCGGGGATCGGGAAACAGATATTGTGCCGAAGTGGTCTTTTTTTGGAAATGATTGCTTTTTCCGCCTTCTAATCCCCGCTTCCTACTCCTTCTCCCGTCTAACGAAAAAAAAAAAAAATCACCCTGTATATGATAAACAGAAAACAAAGTCAAATTTGTAAGGGGGAAGAAAACGTTATTTCTGTATGGATTTTTTTTTTCTGCGCACTTCGACTATTTCTTGTAGCTTTACTCATCATTGGTGGTAGTGCAGTGCGTCTCTGTGTCTCTTATGCCGAGCTGAAAATCAAAGGGAGAGCTGGATGGAATAGCCCAGTGTTATGGTGCTATTTCTCTTGTGGTCTCTTGTGGACGTTTTAGTAATTAATGTAATGGCTAGGGATACTGTGGTACTGCGGCAAATGCAATGCTGCTTTGGTCGTGTATGAATCCGTCTAGTTTGCCAGAATAGAAAGTGTGATTTAACGTGTGAACGTGTGAATCAATTTACCCACCAGTAATAATAAGTGTGGTGGAGAGTTAAATACCCTCTTGTAAGATGATAGACTTTTTACTGTGCTAGTGTTAGGGATAGTGTGGTACTGCAAAGGCGAATGTAAATCTACCTTTGTTTTGCATTAATCCTTCTAAATTGCGAAAAAGAAATGTGTCGTCTCATTGTATATATTTACCTGCCAGTAATAAATTAGTGTGGCAGAGAGGGAAATATGCTCTTCTAARATGATAGAATAGAAAGACTTCCAAATATGWAAGATTTTTTATAGCGAAGTGGATGTGGGTCCTGAGTAGATCTTCTAATTGTCCTACAAGCAGTATTTTTAATGCATTGCTTTAAAAATGCTGCTTAAACTTAAATCTTAAAAACTGCTTAAAAAGACCACCGATGAAAAGCGTCAATAGCAAATTCTCCGGCAATGAACATCAAAAGAATCGAGTAGGTGTACTAACGAATTTTCTTAGTAGTTCTTTTTTGTTTTGTTTGTTCGTTTGCTTTAGGATTATCCCTTGTAACTGAATGAACGCAGTAACATTCTATCTCCCGTAGACTAGTCTCCAGACTGTAAATGGCTGGAGAAGTTATTCATTTTATTGTSCATATAGTTGATACRGAACTCCTTTCCTTCCTCCGTTTTAAGGAAGACCTTCATCTTCATCTTTAGCCTTTATTATGACTCGAGATTCCGGAAGCTCCTGCGATTGGTAGCATTCCAGTGTCAGGCTGCCCTAACCTGCATGAAGATATGCAGTTGTTTCGGAGTAGATCGTGGCCGCTAATTCAAACTTGCTATCCACTCTAAAAGGTGAAATAGTGCGAGTTAGAGTGATCTGCTTCAGAGCAATATCGTTTAAATAGTTCCGGTTTCGCTTTTTTTTTTTTTCCATCTTCCTTCCAGTGTTATTATTTCCCCCCTTTTCCCTTTCCTTCTCCCATTCCTTTTTCATTTCTCTTTTCCTTTCTCCTTTTCCTCCCTTTTCCATTCCATTTTCTACTCCTTTCATTTCTCTTTTGCGATTCCCTTCGTCTTTTCATTTTCTGTCGGCCTTGGAGACTTCTGTTCTGGGCGAGAAAGCC